GGTAAGTTTCCAATCTCAAAATCCTCAATATTTGATGAAAGTTGATAAACTTGTCGCATTCAGCTATACCTTGAATTAATATTGATATTAGAGAGCTTGTTTATATAATTGTTATTGCAACTAATCAGCAGTAAAATCTCTATATTAAGTTAAAGTATTTTTTTGACTGCCAGATAAAAGCAAAATTATCACTTACTAGTTTCCGCTAATCACATTTCTCTGATAACTTAAAACACTTATCTGCAACAGAATCACCGTATCAGAATTGCTTCTGTACTGCTTTGCTTCTGAATCATTGATTCAATGATTGGAATATATTGCTGAAATACTGGTCTTTGCTTAACGAGATTAGGTATGTAAAAATTGCTGTCTTTTATTGAAAAAGACATTAAAAAATTTTTCCTTCATAGAAATTTTAGGAAATAAATTTCTACAAAAGTGAGATGATAAGTAATTCAGGTAATATATAATTTAAACGTATATCTGAAAACAAAAGTAAATTGGAAGTTAAGATACAAATTTAAAATTTCGTCAAATATAGATGTGATTATCAATTCCTCTTGCACATCATCAAACTTCGTATGTCGTTTCAGTTTAAATATTCTACAACATCTGTCAAATATGTCATTGTCACTGTTCGGGGTATTTTTCAAAAAAAAAAAATAAATAAAAAAATGTTCACGATTAAGCAAAAATACGGCTGTTTGAAGATCCAAGACGGATAATTACTGAAAATTTTCATCGATCGCTTTTTTCGAAATCCATTTTATTGTTCCAGTACAATTATTTTGCCACTACATGCTTGTATAATTTAAGATTTGCCAACTTCACTGGGGGAATATGACATGTCACATCGATTGTTCATATCCATTTTAAAAAGCAAATAATTGAATCAAAAACAATTTATCAAAGTAAATTGGAAATATCCATCAAATTCAATGGGATCTGTTAACGTCGATAAGCCGAGAAGATGATGATTAGTTAATTTGATAGATATTATTTAAACTATTTTGAGTATATGTTAGATTCGAGAATGTCCAATAGGAGTGGAATTAAATTTCCCGATGAAATGATAAATCTCAGAATCTGATAAAAATGATTTCAGACACGAATTCATGATTTGCTGTTAAAGATATATTTCTGTTTATAGAAACATATATACGATGATGGTTATTCCAAACAAAAAGGAAATCCATTATCTACGAATATTATAATATAATTATTTTCAAGAGAATTTAATCATGATTAAGTATGACTTAGCAATCATCGTGATATCAGAGATTAATTAATATCATTCAATCTTATCAGTAGCAAATTTTATAAATTATGTTTTTTGTAAAATGTTCATAAAATTAAATTAATTCCTGCAACAAGCTACTCACTTTATAAAATATTGCTTCAATTTTGATAATATCTTTCAACGTTTCTCGTCCATCACTTTGTCAAACATCCACTCTATCGATTTCAATATCCCGATAGCAACGATCAAATATCGAATACTTTACTCTCTTCCTGATAAGATCAAGATTAAAATCAATTGATCTCTTAATGAAGTCACTAATTATGCCATTAATGGTTGCTGAAAACATACATTGTATCAGAATCCTTTTTTCCATCCTCAAATATGATCATAGGAAATTAGAATATTATTAAGTAAAACAATGCCTTCGTTCTTTTTATGCTTTATCAGTTATTTAATTGAAAATTTGAGCAATGCAAAGGTTGCAGTCTTATTAAATTTTAGAAATTTATCAGAATCCTTTTATATGGTAAAACTTAATTTGATATTGGACAATATAAGGGAACATACAGGATTTGACTAATTTTAGATTTGGTGATAACGAATGTTTCCCTTCCAAACTGATACTTCTTCAGCTTCCATAATTAATCCGCAATGAGTAGAAGTTAGAAGATAAGTAAACAAAGATAATGTTAACCACAATTTGGCAGTACGGTTAGTCTTTCAATTTACCCACTCAAAACATTTCATTTCCATTGGTTATTAAATTTTTGATGAACAAACTTTATTTGGATTTGTAATTTTGAGTAAACAATAATGATAGATTATTTATAATTTTGACCGGCATTAAGTTTGTTTTGTGAATTCGATTTAAAATCAATTCAGGTTTATTGGATTTATTACGGTTTAAGATCAATTCAGGTTTATTAGGTTCCTAAATTAAGTGTAAAAAGATGCTACGAATGTTACTAAATGAAACAGGAAATTGGGAAGAATAAAGAGAAAAGGGAGGATGATTTCCGTCCTGAAAACAAATTGGAAAGATAAAGTTGGTATCATTGCATTTCTGATTTTATAAT